GTCCCAGAGCTCCTGTTTCTCAACCGAAAGGAGCCCTAGGGATAATGGAGAAGAAAATGGAAACTATTTGGGTTATATTGGGGTTATATTGGGGTAATGGAAAATAAAATGGAAACTACAAGGAATATAGGGGTTATATAGGGATTATAGGGTAGGTCTGTTGTGAATTGGGAGTTGCTTTGTGTAGTGCCCATGGTTTAGAGTTTAAGGGTTTACGGTTTAGCAGGGTAATTCAAAATGATTTGAGTTCCCAATTTAACACCATGTTGGTACTATTCCCGATAGAAACCACCTTTTAGGGTGAGGCCGGGTGAGATCGCTTTATTTACCTAGGTTAAGGGTTTAGGCTCCTTCATCTTGCGGCCAGGGCTTGGAGTTTAGAACCTCCCAGAAAGTGCATAGAGCTCCTTCTTAGCAATAAAACGCTCTAGGGATCCTACCGGTGCACCATTTCCTCCATCAACCGTCAATCCCCCGAAATGATCCTATTGCCTGAACCTGTCAAGAAACCTTGCAAATCACGATAAACCCAAGAATCCCGGAAAACTCCGAAATAATCCTCATGGACCACAGTATCCCACGGACCGCTCGCCCTGCCCGAAACTTTAGGATCCCAATTACTTACGGGGGCTAGTAGGGAATATGGGAATATAGTATATAGATTATATAGGGATTATGTTCCCTTTTTCCTACTAAGAACCAGTAAGAGTAGAATTACTCTTCGGGACTTAGGCTCTGTACTTGGGGGCCGAAGAAACGACCCCAGCTTTGGTTCAGGCCAGACTGTCTCTTCTGCCTTAAATACTCCACTTCTGAAACGGTTTAGGGGATTAGGGTGTTTTTTTAAGGGTTTAGGGTTTAGGGTTAGGGGATTTGAAAGGGCACCCTTCTGTTCAGGGACTCCCGTCCCTACACTCTAAACCTTTGACCTAAATCAAAAAGTCCCTACATAAGTAAGCGCCCCACATCCCCTATACACGGCAGCAAGGCGACCTCAAACGCTACACCCTATTTATCCCTGGATACTGCCCCCACTCAGTAACGGTCCATAATGGGGGTCATATTATGGGCTTCATATTTTCATATGAGCCATAATCTAAACTCCAAGTATCCCCCCTAATAACCCCTATAATAATCCCCTATATGTTTTCCTGGATAACCCCCTTTGAGGAGCTCAGACTATAGCTCATATGATAAGAGTCGTCCAACTGTTGCTAGGTGGGGGCAACCCTAAACCCTAAACACTGAACCCTAAACCCTAAACCCTGACTATCCCCAGGTAGTAAGTGCTGTTGATCTGCCTCTTTCTTCTCTGGCTTGGCCTGCTTTCGGTCATAGGCCTCTCTTGCTCACACTGTAGGATTGGGGGGCTGTAAATAGTAATAAGAACAACAATACTGATAGTCGTAATAGATAATAATCGTAGTAGTAGTAGTAGTAATAATAATACTAATGGTGGTGGTGGTGGTGGTAGTAACAACAATCGTAGAAATGCCATATTTTGAAAAGCCTGATGACTTCTCAAGAGCATGGGTCCAAGACCACATGACCCCTTTTGATACTGCAGGGAACCACATGAGCTATGTCTCAACTCTAGTATGCCCCTTAATAACCCGTATACTACTCCCCTATGTAATCCCCTACGTAACCCCCTTTAAGGAGTTTGGGTCCCAAACCCTAAACCCTAAGTCCTGAACCTTAAAACCCTATATAACCCCCTTTAAGAAGTTTAGACGATGGCTCAGGTTTTGAGAAATTTCCTCTGGCTTTCTCCCAAGCTCTGGTGCTCCAGACTTTTCCTCTTGCCCTCGTGCCACAGCCGGCTTCGGAATAACAAGAAAAGTTGTTTAGGGTTTAGGTTTTAGGGTCTTGGGTTCTAGGGTTCAGGGTTTGGATTCTGACTACCCATCGCTACTACACCCTGTGAATGTCCAGAACAAATTATTTCTGTCCTTCAGAACTTCAGGCAATGGTTCCGGAGCATGGTGTAAACAAGCTACATCGCAAACATGTGTCACGCAGTACGCATCCAAAACGATGGACTCTCTGAAAACAATGACAAAAACACTAATTGCAGTATCGAGAATAGTGATGGAAATAATAGAAATAGCAACCATGGGGCTCTCTCAGAACCGGGCCTGTTGTTTCATCACCTTGATGGCATTGCCGAGGGCCGAGATCGACTCTCCGTAGTCCTGGCAAAGCTGGGGGAACACCAACCGCCACAGCACAGTACTGCCCACCAAGCTATTACTGCTATTCCTACTGTTACTACTATTTCTATAATAAAAAGCAAACACTCTTATTACTAGTATCACTGTACTCGCTTTAGTCATTATGACTTCACGGCAGCTTTCCCAGAATTCAGCGTGGCAGCGCCTTGGAAGTGTTCTGGAAGTCCGCATGCTCTTGCTCGCGCATCTGGCAGGATAGGAACCGGAATTTAAGGGATCATTATAAGCGCTATGTAGGGTTTATATAGGGACATGTGCACAAATATACACATGTATATATATATATACATATGGATGGTACCCCAATTTAAATGGAGAAGAGTGTGCATGTTATGGAAACTGCGAGACTATTGGGATTTCTAGTAGGTGAGAATGGGATTGTAATTTCCCCAACCCCCATAATAAGGACCCTATAGCTATCACATGACTATAATAGGGTCCTAGTCTTAAGGTTGTGGTAAGTAAAAGCCCCTTCTTGAAGGAGATTACTCTAAGCAAGCGCTTCCTCAATTCAAGACTTCGATCAATGGAAGTGGAACGGAAGATGAAATGGTCCTACAGGATTTATAGAGATTGTAGTGCAGGGCCCAAAATAAATGGACGGCTTTAGTGCATATTATATGAAAGTTATAGAAGAAATACAGGCTGGGGATAATAGCATTCCTTATTCAGGCTTCTGCATCAGTCACCTCGTAGAGCATGTGCCGTCAGCGCTATCTTCCCCACCCCAATACTATCAGGCCTAAAACATCCTAAAACGGTGTGCTGTCCTGAAATCCTTTGCCCTAAGCCAGGGAGATAAAGGACATGCGCAACAAAGAGGCCTCGAACCTTTCAAATTTGAGATAGCCACTTTTTGCACCTTGGTGATGTTCTCCTGCTGCGCCACCAGGGCCGCAATGTTCTCCTGGTGCCCTGTCCA